CTCAAACCTTTAACGTGTCATGTAAAAAGATAAATCATATGGAGTTGTTAACCTCTTAATATAGTCGACCCTTTTACCGGTACTGTGGAGAGGGAATGTACGCGGCGGAGACTAGCACGGGTATCGACATACGTAGAGTGTGCAACATCAGGAGAACCGTCGTCGAATACAGAATTAGTAGGGTGTACGAAATAGCGGGTAGTAATTTTGATTACACTTGGGGTCCGGTTGATAAAGGACGAACTCGTACAGACGATTTGGCACACATGGACATTTGCTTGCGTCCGGGCAATGTATTAGCAGGTCTTAAGTTTATAGATGGGCCAGTAAAGAGCGGAAAAGAACCACTCTGAAATATAGGGCCGAAGGTATCTAATTTATAAGGGACCGTCGCTCTGTAACCGAAGACACCTTACAACCTGTTAGGGGTGACCAACCGGCGTCTGTCCTTGCATAACACCTACAGGTCGTCGTCGTAGTTCACCGTGTCTTGTGGTATGGTATAGTGTCATATTGTGTATTCTACCTAGCGATGTACGTAGGGTAACAGGACCGACATTGTGACGCATTGAGCAACATCAAACACGACGTAGGAGTCGTACCCGCATTAAAGGTTAACCCCGTTTTTGGACAAACACAGGGGGGTTGACAAAGTTTACACAAATAATAGATAAAAAAATGAATTCCCACACACACACACACACAACAACACACACACACACACACACACACACAGCACACACACACACACACACACACACACACCCACACGCAACACAACACACACACACACACACACACAGCACACACGGCGACCCCTCCCCTCCCCCCCCTCCCCTCCGTGATTTCCTTGTTTAGCGATACACAGCCAAACACAGCCAAACTCAACCTGAACAAACACAAAGTCACAGCCAAAATAAAAACAATAAGTGTGGCTTGATATTGAGTAAGAAAAAGGTTTATAGGTTGATAAACACCGTGAGAATGGGTCTGCAGAGAGAATTTCGCCGCAATCCCAACTGTCTGTTATCAGCCTGCAGCCAGGGAGGAGAAATCAGCAGAGCTGCCTGCACTGAGGTGGAATGGTCAATTTGGACCAATCAACGGGGGCTTAACGTAACGGCTTCGTGGACGTAACGTAACGGCTCCGCGGACGTAACGTAACGGCTCCACGGATTGGCCCATTTAGTTCCGGGTACGTGCTTAGCATGACATGTCACCTTTAAGCAAGGCATTCCACTCACAGAGATGAGTAGAACACGTGGTTGGATGATTTCGGACAGCAAAGATTATATTCAGAAAATCCTCTTTTTAGGGAAATTGACAGTAGAAAATATTGTGTGTAAGTGTTTTGATAAAGGGCCGTATTGTGTGACTGTTGGCTGAAAACACAGCGTGTGTGTGTCAGTGCTGCACTACTAATAAGATTCCGGAGAGCGTGTTTGGCTCCCAGCACTGAATGATTTTTTTGGAACTATTAGATGATACATCCTGTTCTCTACCTGGAGGCTGCTGGACACGAGTCAGGCTTGGAAAAACAAACAAACAAGTATATACACACACCCATCACAGACAGGAATGCAATTCACTCATGCAGAGATGTACTCACGCCAATACTTTTTCATTGGACACTAAACATGTATACAAGCCATCCCTTCATTCTCACGCTTACCGAGAATGATGTCTACTCTTTCTCACACGCACACACAGACACACAAACCCCCTGGCTGTGGCTGACTGGGTGGCTGAGATCAGAGGTGCAGATACGGTCAGATTATATAAAGCTTGAAGGCCTGGACAAGATGTTCGAGTTAGTCATGGTACACAGAGACCATATTTACGCTAATTCCATTACTTCATTGCTGACTGCTATTAGCGAGAAGAGTTGCGTATGTGACTATTCCTAAAGAGTTTTGATGTTGGAGAGGCTTATGGTCTATAGATCTTGAATGTTAATGTTAATGTTGCATTCAACAATATATTTACATTAACAGTGAAATGATTTTGTGTGATATGAAAAGGAACTCTTGCGGCAACAAACCCACAGAGAATCCTCTGCTTAAGGCAGCCAGTGTTGAATATTTTTAAAAATCTTAACAGATGTTGAAGATATGACAGGCGTCGAATATGACATGTAATCATCATGTTCTGCTGTCCAAGAGGTTTCTCACAGTGTATTGGATTGTTAATATTGAATGTGTTTATTATTGTGATTTGGAATCAGTGAGGGAACTAAAAACACACTTTAAACATACAGTACATCACACTCCAGCTAAATGTGTCTTTAGAACCATCAAGAGCAGAAACATTAGCTTGATTCTCATGCAGTGCATCCTGCATCCTTTAGCCTCTTTAGTCTGTTGTTTTGGCACAGCATGAACATTAAATGTATGTCACTGATTATCAACCCTGTTTCGAGCAGCAGCAGCAGGTTCTTTTAGCACCTGCACGCCAATACAACCACTGCACGCTAGCTACCCTGTGAGGAGATAGGAATGGTGTACCATTTTATACCATTGGAACAGCTTGTAATGTTCAATTTTTTGCAATAGAGCTTCTTTGCTGGTCGTGTCTCGAAGAGTAACCCCAGATTTGCGAAAGTCTAGATAAAGAATTATGGTTAGGCATTGACCTTGAATTGTCAAAAGTAAGGTTAGTAAAGGCCCTTCCAGCATCGAGTCTGGCAACAGTTTGAGAGGTTTACAAATCCAAGGTTCTCTTCTAGACTCGTTCTAAGATGGTGGTGTCTAGAGAAGTAACCCAAGATTTGTGAAACTCTCAACAGGGGATAATGGTTGGGCATAGACCTTGAATGGTAAAGTAAGGCTTTTACCTCAATGTGAGGTATGGATCGGTGGTTGGGCATGAAGTCTGCCAACAGTGTTTTGAGAAGTTTTGCAAATTGAGGGTTTTCCTCCAGGCTCAAACATCTTTGCTTACACAAAGACACAGGGAAGCCATATTGGGTCAAACCAACTAGACAGCAGTTCTAGTGAAAACTCTGCATATAGGAGTCGATCAATATCTGAACTTAAATATCAAGCTGGTTTTATAAGCCTGACCATTTACCTCCTCAGGTTCTGTGAAAACATAAGATTCATTAGATTTGGAATATGTGGTTTTGACCAGCCAGTAAACAAGTGGAACTGGCAAAGTCGCAGTGATTCACAATAAATGTGCAGTTTGTGTTGCAGGTGAACAAAGTTAGTTTGTCCCTCTGTCATGCCCTTAGTTGTTCCCTTCAAGTGTTATCTAACCACAACAACTGGAGCCGTCGTTTGGCTGGAGCAAACAAGAGGACCAGTGTTTTTCGCCGACAGGAGCGGCTGGGGTAAATTCTGCTGTCCTCTGCTCCCCATTCAAAATCACTGTCATCCTGTCATTTTCATGCATACAGGGCACTTCTGTGTGGTGTGTGTGTGGGTTATGTCTTCAAAACCTGCGTCTTTTCCTACATTTATGTGGTTCTTCATGTCTGTGTGGGTGTGTTGCACGTAAGGACATTATTCATGCACACACAGAAAGGCAGGTTATTTTCCGATATTGCACGCCAGTTGTTTTCCCCCCTCATTCTCCATTACGGCGTCCCTCTCCATGAATGAGGGGTTTGTTTGGTTTTCCTGCGGCCCTTCCGCTGTGCAATGTTACCCGGGTTTTGCTCTCTGTTTCCTGGCCTGGACACGCGGCTGTTTCTTTTTTTTCTACCTTAGCCTCGGAGAGGAAATGATTTCTGACTGGGAGGAATGGGGCAGGAATGACAAACTAATATATCCTACCTCTGAAACCGGCTTAGGCGCGCACTGCAAACCTTTTTTGTTCCAATATGATGCTGCCAAATTTGGTTTCCACTAGCTTATACTGCAGTACAAAGAGTCTTCATAAACATCTGTGGTTGCTTCAGTAAAATATGTAATAACTGATATAGGAGTATTATTGAACTGGCTCCTTTTATGTGGCTTCACGAATGCAAAAGCACCTTCTGCCAACAATTCCTTCCCTCTACTACAGCACATTGCAAGTTATCATAATGTATTAGAAGAACGATTACATCCTCCTCTTGAATTATTTTGACCCGTATTGCATTTCCTTGTAAACTGGTGTGGCGCTCCAGCTTCCATCCTCGCCTTGACATCCCTCTAAACACACCACAATTCCACCGCTCTTCTTTTTCCTCGTAACTCAATGCTGGCCTCAATACAAGTACAAACTTTTACACATGCAGGTGCACACACACACTCACGCGTGCACACACACACACACACACACACACACAGCGATGTGTGTTTACTCCTTTTTAAAAAGGTTGTCAGAGCCTATCATCTCAGCTAAGCCGAGCCTGCCTGCCGTGGAAAGAGAAAGGAGGGGTCCGATCCTCGTCCCCGCTTCCAACAGAAAAAGCTCATCCAAAAAACAAATTAGCAAAGAGACACAAGGGAGGGTTTATTGCTATTTATTCAATTTGCTATTGACTGAGAGAGGGGGGCTCAATTCCCCTTTTTCTCCTAGCACAATGTCATATCCTGTTGGGTTTTTGACCACAAAGTGAGACCAGAGTTGTTGTGGAGAGACACGCTGAAGGGTATTAAGAGAACGAGAGATGTTTTGGCGAGGGGAGAGGGGTGAAAGAGAGGGCTAACCAGAATATTCTAGTGCTCCGATGGTATGTTGACAATTCTTAAACAGCACAGGAAAATGACCTTCTCCAACGTGGGGAAGGAGATCTAGAGATTGAACGTATTGAAACAATGAACTGTGTTGTTTACATGTATGTCCTGTATGTGCATAAAGAAAAATATGAGAGTCAATGTAATAATGGGCACATGTTTACGTCAAAGAGGAGCTGGAAAGGGGGCTGGCGTGATTCAAAATGGGCTTTACTCTTCAATAACATGAATTACAAACAGTTTAGCTGTAAACTGTGGCTTCAGGCAGCCATTCAACTGAGGGCCAGCCAGAGATTAGAGCTGATGAACAGTAAACCACAGCAGAGAGCAACTTACCTTCTTCTTGCTGCAGTAGATCTGCCATTTCTTTTCATCGGGCAGAGCGAACATGGCCTCCCTGTTCTTGTCCGTGAGGTCCAGTTCATCCTGCAACAACAAAGGAGGCCGTTTTAGCAACACAGTATTTGTCTTGAAACCATTGCACACATTGTTGTTGTCTACTAGAACATGTGGATATGCTTTTAGGCTGAAAAACTAATTATTTTTCTCATAAATTATATCACAATTTACATTCATTCACCCTCAGTCTTAAACCCGCCTCTCTCTTTAAGTCCCGCTGCTGAAAAAAAGAGCCCGGTCCTCTCTGCTTGGTTCTCACGTTGCTGGTGAAGATACCCAGAAAAGAGGACGATATCAGGGCTAGGAAATATATATACCGTAATTTTCGGACTATAAGGCGCACCTGAATATAAGCCGCAGCAGCTAAATTGAATGATGTGTACATATATAAGCCGCACTGGACTATAAGCCGCAGGCGTTTTAATGTTTAATTACCATATGTAAGGGTTCGTGCACAGAGGGGATTGTCGGGAAAGAGATGGCTGTTTGAGGAAGCTCCCATTTATTAACATTTCAACAAACAAGTTGCATATTTGCATAACGTATTCAAGTGTTACCATTTAGTGCAATAGTAGCTACAGAACATGTACTGTGCTGTGTAAACTGTACTGTATCACATAGCGTTTCAGACACACAAACTTTTCAACTTTCAAACTTAAACGGTGCGCTCCCAGCGCACGTACCGGCAGTGATCTACAGCAGTGGTTTTCAACCAGTGGTACGGGGACAAACTGTCTCGCTCTCGTAATGTCTGTCTGTCTTGCTCTCGTTCTGTCTCTCGTACCACTCTCGGTTCCACTTTTACTTTTGCGCGCTACCTGTCTCACTCTTTTCCGGCCTCCAGCTTTTCCTGCTGGAGCCCGCCGCTTAAAGGTGGGGGGCGCGGACCGGCCATAGAGCCCATAGAGTTAAAGGTGGTGGACTGTAACCTGTAAAATCCATAGATTTAGGAGGTTCCCTAGTGGCTGTTAGCTCTAAAAATCCATAGATTAGCCGCACCGTTATATAAACCGCAGCGTCGAAAAATGGGGAAAAAGGCGCGGCTTATAGTCCGAAAATTACGGGTATATTATATTTTGATATTGAAATACATTTCATCTTTGACTTTGGATATTGAGATATGACAAGTGTTTTCTTTCCTGGTTTTAAAGGCTGCACTACAATAAGGTGTGTTTTGTTATGACTGTTCTAGCTGTTCTGTTGTTTACCTTTATCCGCTGTATCCACATTACTATTTATCATTAATCTCACTGTGTGAGTATTTTGTGAAAACTACAACAGTAAACTCTATGATATTGTCACAATAGCATTTGGTAAGAATATAGTGATACTTTATTAACTCCATCTTACACACTTTGTGGTATTTTCTAATAAGCCTCAATAAAACATACTGGGTTGTCTCTTTTCATAGTGTTTTGGTTGGTAGTCACTCCACATCCCAAAATGTCTTCTTTCAAAGTAATCACTGGGAGACGCATGAATACTACCAGCCCCATCCTTCAGCACACAATCCGACTATCCCTTTTGTTTTGTTTTCACTACATCAATACAGAGCCAAAGATGTTTAGCAGTGACTGCAGATCATTGGATGAGTTGAGTTTACACAGCGACATTGGATTGTCTGACCCCCCCACTGTCTGACTGAGAACTGGTCTCCACAGAGGAGGGTTTTAATATTCACCCTGCTGCTCGGCTCAATTATTCCGCTCAGTAAAAGGAGCCTCCTGCACCTTTTGAAATGCATATGAGGCCCGGAAATGAGTCTCTGTATGCCTGGGAGGAAAAAGTAAATTCTCGGAAAGAGAAGCACATTTAAGTTGAAGGGAGAATGAGAGAAATGGAGGAAGGATACAGAACAAATAAAGGGGCTGTGCGGTTCTGGAAATGGATCAGGACAAAAAAATTGAGGATGAGATGCCATAGCGCGTAGAGCTTTGTGCTCTGCCTCAAACTAATCTCATGATAATGGTTTTGCTACCATGACGTCAGGCAGAAGTGCTGGGCCTCCAAGGCCCCCCAAAGTGAAGATGGCTACCAGCACCAGAGGTGGGGCCCCTTAAAGCCGGCCAGTAGATCCACAGGGTTTGTTTTCATCCATTCAGCTGGACAGGGTAGGGTGAGGTGGCCCACATTCCAAGTACCCAACACTATGAAGGATGACATCATCTCTCACACAGTGCTTTCAATGGGAGAACCAGCAGCAGCATGATTGTGGTTTTGGCAAAAAAGGAAAAATCTGAAGGGTGTGAACTTTAAGGGGGTCTAATACAGATAGAAACCACAAAGAAGCTTTGGAATCTTTGGTCAAAGCCTCATTTCATCTTAGCAGCATGAATTAAAGAGTGAATTGTGACTCAAAACGAGAGCTTATCATCTCGAGTCTACATTACCTGCTGCAATAAATGAATACCATCGATATTAGTGTGCTGTTATTTTTGGCCTGTGCACTCTCAAGAAGAAAACCAACCATCTTTGCAGCTAAACATCTAACCACTGACTCTTCGTCCTTCAATCTTTACAGATTTTCGCTTTGGGTTGGACCACGATCCTCTCTCCACATCCCCAGGCTTTAAAACCGAGGCTGAGAAGCCAGCTCGTCTCTGGCATGTGGCCCGGTCGCCGGGTCAAAGCCCCGCTGTCCAAGCTGCTGCTGTTTGGAAGAGCTGATACTAGGAGTTGGTTGGGAAATCAGCGAGAATGAGACCCCTGGATTTGAACCAGATGGGAGCTGAGCCCAGTACTTGATCTCTTTGCTCTTTCTTGCTCTCAATATCTTCTCCCCAGGCCTCTCAATGTAAGGTCTTATTTGGAAGTTATAGGAGAGCAGGATATACATCAGCAATGAAAATGAGGATTAAGGTGTCCCAGACATACAGGTTCAACAGTTTAGCGGAGCAGGTAAGCTATCGGAGGAATCAAGAATTCCACTTAAAATAGGTATATGATTACACAAGGCCTTTACATAAGATTTAAGACGTATGAGGATAAGGCAAAGTCAAGTATGGCAGCAGGAACAGGAAAACAGGAAAGGAGTGGCAGGGGCGACCAAAGGCTAATGCATCAGGAGACTTTATAATGAGAACTACATGTTTCATTGAGTTGTTAGTCAAGCAGAAGGGTCACCAGTCTTATCAGAGAAAGGAAAGATTAAGTTGAGGATGAAGACATCGACTTTTCTATCCAGTTATGCAATATTTTACCTTTTTCTTTCACCTCCCAAATTACTTGCTCCAACATGACAGCTCCATCACATGGCCTGTCCAAACAAGTAAAACCGAAAAAACAACCTAACTCAATCTTCCAAAACAAAACAGGACCGCTTTCCACATTACTTGTAAAAGCTTCTCTTGATATGCCTCCGTCCTCCTTGGCCAGCACACTCCAGTCGGGAATTCAAATAAACCAAAACTAATATTGTAACACCTGCTGACCGAGAGGCGAAAATACATACCTAAGGTTTCTCAACCTTTTCTTTTTCATATTTCCTCCACAAACGCCTTTTGAATACTGTTACAAATTCCAAAAAGATGTCATGGTTGTGAGCTGTTTAGATCTTTTAAATGTTTGTTTCTCTAGACTGATGAGCTTTCCGTATTTGCTGACATGATACAAAACATATGGTGTAGAAAGATGGCGCTTAAAGCGAAAAATAAAACAGGTCTTCTACCACAAATTTGATCAAATAAAGTCATTTTGAAACAATTGAATTTCATGTCATCATTCAATCATTTAATATAACGTCTATTCCGCAATATAATTTTGAATGTTGTATGTATTTTCTATCATGTTAGCTCTATGGATTCATAAAATCCAAAGGAAAGCACTTTAAAACCCTTTTAACTTGTCTTTATGTTACAATAGTTGGTCCAATCTTAGGAGTTTGTGCCACTCACGTCTCTCCGTTGACTTTGTATGCATCACACAATGTCTAAAATGCACTTTCAGTTCTGTCTCAACATAGAAGATGTTGGTAATGTACTCTATGTACATTTGTTCTTTTGGACAGAGTCAGGCTAGCTGTTTGCACCTGCCTTATGATATGTCCTACTATTCCTCTAAATAGCAACTATTCAGAGTAGGAATCACTGGGAGGTCTTTAGGGAGAATGAGCTTAGTTACTACATGCATGTATAATCCTACTGTAATTCCCATCAGGGATTATGATGAAGAAGATATATATATTTTCCAGCAGACATGTCTTATATATTAACATTCATTTGTATGACATAATAGGATTCAGATGATATAACTTGTATGTGGCGTTTATGTATACCATATGGAAAGCATGTAAAGGATAGGAGACGGATGGGTAGCAATGACACATCGGAGAAAATTCAGAGTAGTGTGGGAAAACAGAGATGAACTGAAGGACAGGAGTATGGCAAAAGGTTAACAAAAAAGTAGAGAGTGCAGTTGGGATAAAGATGGAGGCAATGCAAATTCGACACCAAAATGTTAGCGAAACAAACTCCACAGGGAGAGTAAGGGTCAGTGAGTGAGTATGTGGGCCTGGCATACTGTAGGAGTCTGAGTGGGTGTGTCTCTGTGACAACTGACTGAGGATGTGTGAGGCTCCACCTAAATGGGAAATGTGTGTGGTCCAAGAATGACATCCTTTCACACGCATGTGCGGCTATGAAGCAGCGTTTCCAGAAGGCACGTAAACGTTTCTACCTCATGTCAAGTCTTACAGTATTGGCATAGGGGATCTGACACACACACACACACACACACACACACACACACACACACACACACACACACACACACACACACACACACACACACACACACATCTATACCGAGTTCTGATTTGGAAAGTGAAACAAATTGTTAAGTATCCCAAAAAATAAACAAAATTGACTTGTCTGTGCAATTTCCATGATTTATAATAGTAGGAAAAACCCTGCTGTTTAAAGCTGGATCCAATATTGGCGAATAACTCTTATTTTAACAAACATACAAATCATAAACAGGGCATTATTGATGTCAGCAAAAATAAATAACACAAAAATGATATGAATCTT